AAAGCTGGATTTGGATACAAAAAGATTTCCCAAGCTTTAAACATCCCAAGGAGCACTGTGCAAGCAATCATATTGAATGGAAGGAGTATGAGACCACTGCAAATCTACCAAGACCCGGCCGTCCCTCTAAACTTTCATCTGGAACAAGGAGAAGACTGATCAGAGATGCAGCCAAGAGGCCCATGATCACTCTGGATGAACTGCAGAGATCTACAGCTGAGGTGGGAGAGTCTGTCCATAGGACAACAATCAGTCGTACACTGCACAAATCTGGCCTTTATGGAAGAGTGGCAAGAAGAAAGCCATTTCTCAAAGATATCCATAAAAAGTGTTGTTTAAAGTTTGACACGAGCACCTGGGAGACACCAACCATGTGGAAGAAGGTGCTCTGGTCAGATGAAACCAAAATCCAACTGTTTGGCCACAATGCAAAACGATATGTTTGGTGTAAAAGCAACACAGCTCATCACCCTGAACACACCATCCCCACTGTCAAACATGGTGGTGGCAGCATCATGGTTTGGGCCTGCTTTTTGTCAGCAGGGACAGGGAAGATGGTCAGAATTGATGGAAGATGGATGGGTCCAAATACAGGACAATTCTGGAAGAAAACCTGTTTGAGTCTGCAAGAGACCTGAGACTGGGACGGAGATTTATCTTCCAACAAGACAATGATCCAAAACATAAAGCCAAATCTACAATGGAGTGGTTCACAAATAAACGTATCCAGGTGTTGGAATGGCCAAGTCAAAGTCCAGACCTGAATCCAATCGAGAATCTGTGGAAAGAGTTGAAGACTGCTGTTCACAAACGCTCTCCATCCAACCTCACTGAGCTCCAGCTGTTCAGCAGGAAGAATGGGCAGAACTTCAGTGTCTCCATGTGTAAAACTGATAGAGACAAACCCCAAGAGACTTGCAGCTGGAACTGCAGCAAAAGGAGGCGCTACAAAGTATTAACGCAAGGGGGCCCAATAATATTGCATGCCGCTCTTTTCAGTTTTTATTTGTTAAAAAAGTTTTTGACACATCCAATAAATTTCATTCCACTTCACGATTGTGTCCCACTTGTTGTTGATTCTTCACAAAAAATTAAAATTTTATATCTTTATGTTTGAAGCCTGGAATGTGGCAAAAGGTTGAAAAGTTCAAGGGGGCCGAATACTTTCACAAGGCACTGTGTGTGTGTATATTTTGTTTTTGTTTTTTTAAGAAAAAAATGTTTTTTTTACAGAGTAATATAGTTTAAGAGTTAAACAGCTGTGTTACTGTGAAAGCCACAGCCTCTGAAGAATGTGGATATGAAATATGAATAGGCCTACCCAGTTCATTGAGGCTTTGAGCAGCCTTGGTGATCTCCCTGATGCCCCCCTGCAGCTGCCCCTGCAGCCTCTTGCTGAGATACAAGATGCGAATGATTCTCCGCAGCAGGTCACAGGCCACCTGAAGCACAATGTCAGGCATTAGACATAGCACCAGTGAAAAATGATAACTTCAGACATTATAGCCTGCACTTTGATGTAGACATGTTACAACTTTTTATCTAATGTGCTTTAGTCCAAATTCCACAGAGATAGTTTAACTACAAAAAAGTGAACATTCTTATAAATGGATTTAATGAAAAACAAAGTTAGCTTACTACACAAACACAATGGAAGCTAGAAACTTTCTACAGAACTATTGAAGCATGCCTATGATGTTGCTTCTTCCCAAAACTATTATAACTGGATTAACATAAGCTATCTGAACTGTAAAATAAGCGCAAAGAGAATCGAGATCAAAATATTTGTTACAGCTACCAGTGGCTCATCATGGTAACCACATACATTCTCTTGTTCAATGACTGCTAAGTTAATTATAGTTTTACACAGAGTCCAACAGTCGCAGTGTAAACATAATTCAAAAAAATATTTAAAATGTGATAGCAGAAGACTAATATTTTAGTTTCTACAGTGTTTTATTATAGAAATACAAGTTCAAGACTCTTCCCTTTTAGTTTTGAAAAGCAAAGTTTGAGCTGAAATATACTGAAACTAAATCTGCAAAAGATTGGCTGTACACTCTTGGCGGACTGGGGGGATTTGAGAGAAAAGGGTCGTAGCTGTGAGGGACAAACAATAAACGAAAAAAACATGTATACATTTTTCTTTTCTTTTATTGTTTGGCCCTCACGACTATTTCAATTTATAATCTACCAAATACACCAAAACCAACTTATAATGTACCAAAAAGAGTTGCAGTAAGTTTAATTTATTTTGCAAAAAAAGTTCAAAATCTTTGAAAGGTTTAAAAAGTTTTGAAAAGTGTTGGATGTCAATATTAATGGCAATTGACAAAATTTCATACACATACTGGTATTGTTCGTTAAAGTAGGCCGAGGCACTGATATCAAGATGGCGCGAGCAAAGAAATTTGCCACGCCCACATCTGGATTTTTGCACCTCCCCATATTTACAAAAGTTCAAAATATGTGATAAGATTTGTGAAGCCACAAGATAATTATGAAATGGCCAGTTATGCACCAACTGGGACACCTCTAAGTTTGCCAAGCCATGCGCGTAGCCAGGGGGGGTTCGGGGGGTTCGAACGAACCGCCCACTTTGCCAATGAAGTCCCACCTACAACTCCCGCGAGATATAGAACTGCGAGGTGAAGACGACGTTCACTCTGTCCTGGCTTGGAAGGCAACACGGTGGATTCAAACGGTAAAATTACATTGTGGTTTTTGATTCAACTGTTCATTTGTGTATTTAAAGTAGTACCGTTTGATGTTATCTTACTCTATAGTGTCATTTTTTTATGTGTAGATGTGGATTGTATTGTATTTTTCAATTCATTAATTTCATTCATAAAAAACAATGTCTAACAAAGCAAAGTAAAAAGATGAGTTATTTTTGCAATTGAAGTAATGTTATTATTTGCGGGCTTAGTTTGCATTTATGTTGTTAGAGTTAAGGAGTGGTACTGTGCCTTTAAGAGGATGACGTCTTTCATTCTTCTTCGGTGTTTTTTTTTTTTTTTTGTGTATGTTCGGGCGGGACTCGGGAGTACCGAAGTGTTCGTTCGTGTCTGGGATGAGTTCTGAATAGAAGACTGGACACACACGCTATTCCCCTCTCAGTGTGTTGCTCTTTCTCCACTCACAACCGCCTATTTGGTAACACAGATTTACCTCACACAGCAGTGTTTTAACTAGCTAGCTAATTAGCTTGTTTACACATTTGAAGTTATGTGTACCACCGCCAATGAACCAATCAGAGTAGTCCTACAGGTCCACTTTTTCTTCAAACGAACCGCCCCTCATAAAATCCTGGCTACGCCTATGCAAGCTGCCCTGGCCACACCCTTTAACCACTGCAGGAAATAAATATATTCAGTGTTTCTCCTACCATTACAAGAACCGAGTGCCCTGGCTATCGAACTGTGCACACACACCCCCAAACACACTTGTAGGTACTGACGCAACGCTAAGCTAGCAGCTCGCAATACAAGTGTGCTAGCTGAAAAGCTAAAGGCAGTCTATGCCCTCATGCTGAAACCAAGATCACTGGCCGTGTGTATAACTTCCCCATCACTATAACGTACCGCCCGGCAGTATCAGCATGCACACTTGAGGTTGTAAATTGCACCTGCTTGACAACTATAATAGCTACCCCTCTTGATTTGGATTGAAAACTGGATTGAAACACCTGACGAGATCAATTTTTAACAATCTTTCCACTGTCTGCAGAATGCACGTGGGTCTCTTGTAATAAGGCAATACCAGTGTTCAGCAGCTTCAAGTGTGACATAATTTTTCAGAATTTTACAGGACCATTAAGGGATTTCACATTCCAGCTTACACAATTAAGTGGACGGCCATTACAGTTGCTAACATCCTTAGAGCTGGTCATGGTTGAACAGCAAGAAATAATTTACACAGAATATCACAAGCCAATACCTGACAAAAGAAACAAAATACCCCCAAAAAACTGATCTGATATAAGCCCACCACTCTCTCCTGCCAAAACACGGAGAGAACAAAAACCACTGTCAACTGAGAATCCACACAATTGTGCTTACCCTAGAAATAATAATAATAATAATAATAAAAAAGAAAAACGTTCCCATATTAGGGTGTGTACTATATACCAGAACTTATGGTAATCAATTTTGAGCGTTAACACTGTACAATCGCCCTCCACCCTGTTGCTGAGATGACATTCTTCTTGATGTATTCCATCACTTTAACGAAGTCGGCGAACACCTTGTCCATCCCTCCATGCATGATGCGAAGCCTTCCAGGAAAAAGAAGTCCATACTAGACACCTGGTTGGTTCCGCTAGAGTCGCCTCCCTTCGTGAATGCTGCTCGTGCCTTTGCCATGCTTGATGTGCATTCAGCTGTGATGAATATGGATGATTCTTTGAAGTGGATCGGGCCACCACTTCATGCTCATTGTAATATCTCCACACAATCTTGATAATAATGCAGCCTGGCCAAGATAACTCTTGATTAATCATCTGAGCCTCTACTGCATGGTGTACGTGGTCAGCCAGCGGTGACTTGTCCAGCTTCAGCACCTCCATTAGCAATTTGGCTATCACTATTACTAACCATAACCTTCAATCGACAAATCAGGAACTCCAATACAGTAGTCCCTCAGTTATCAAGGGGGATTCGTATATTTCAGTTCAGAGAGATGACTTCAGTTGTGACTTGGCACTATATAAATAAACTGAATTGAATTGAAGCCCCGTCATAAGTGAAAAACTGTGAAGTAGGAATAGTAGCAAGTAGTAGTTTATTTTAGTATTTACAGTGCCTTGCAAAAGTATTCGGCCCCCTTGAACTTTTCAACCTTTTGCCACATTTCAGGCTTCAAACATAAAGATATAAAATTTTAATTTTTTGTGAAGAATCAACAACAAGTGGGACACAATCGTGAAGTGGAATGAAATTTATTGGATGTGTCAAACTTTTTTAACAAATAAAAAACTGAAAAGTGGAGTGTGCAATATTATTCGACCCCTTGCGTTAATACTTTGTAGCGCCTCCTTTTGCTGCAGTTCCAGCTGCAAGTCTCTTGGGGTTTGTCTCTATCAGTTTTACACATGGAGACACTGAAGTTCTGCCCATTCTTCCTGCTGAACAGCTGGAGCTCAGTGAGGTTGGATGGAGAGCGTTTGTGAACAGCAGTCTTCAACTCTTTCCACAGATTCTCGATTGGATTCAGGTCTGGACTTTGACTTGGCCATTCCAACACTTGGATACGTTTATTTGTGAACCATTCCATTGTAGATGTGTCTTTATGTTTTGGATCATTGTCTTGTTGGAAGATAAATCTCCGTCCCAGTCTCAGGTCTCTTGCAGACTCAAACAGGTTTTCTTCCAGAATTGTCCTGTATTTGGACCCATCCATCTTCCATCAATTCTGACCATCTTCCCTGTCCCTGCTGACAAAAAGCAGGCCCAAACCATGATGCTGCCACCACCATGTTTGACAGTGGGGATGGTGTGTTCAGGGTGATGAGCTGTGTTGCTTTTACACCAAACATATCGTTTTGCATTGTGGCCAAACAGTTGGATTTTGGTTTCATCTGACCAGAGCACCTTCTTCCACATGGTTGGTGTCTCCCAGGTGCTCGTGTCAAACTTTAAACAACACTTTTTATGGATATCTTTGAGAAATGGCTTTCTTCTTGCCACTCTTCCATAAAGGCCAGATTTGTGCAGTGTACGACTGATTGTTGTCCTATGGACAGACTCTCCCACCTATAAGTGCCTAAATGGCCTCGCACCCATCTACCTCTCTGAGCTACTGGAACCATATGTTCCCTCTTGGGCTCTGAGATCATCCGATCAGCTGCTTTTGGTTGTTCCAAAAACACGACTGAAGCTCCGAGGAGATCGGGCGTTTTCAGTCATGGGTCCCAAACTGTGGAACAACCTACCCCCCAACATTAGGCATGCCACCTCCCTTCCTGTGTTCAAATCCCTGCTAAAAACATCTGTTCTCTCTGGCGTTTCATACTGTGTGAGTTGATTTAGTATATCTTGTTCCATGTCTTCATTTTAATGCTGTTGTTTTAATTTTTAAGGTATATTCTTACTGCTTTTTATTTCTCAGTGTTACCCTTAGTGTTAAGCACTTTGATAACAGTCTATCTGTTTTAAATTGTGCTCTATAAATAAATATGACTTGACTTGACTTGACCTCAGCTGTAGATCTCTGCAGTTCATCCAGAGTGATCATGGGCCT